ATCTCGGATCTTAGCGCCTGGACCAGGGATTGAACCTGTGTCCCCTGCATTACAAGGCAGATTCTTAACCATTGGACCAAGTGGAAGTGTTAGTCGGTCAGTCACTGACCGAGAGTCAGACCCTGACAAAGAGTCAGGGTCACTGACTCTTTGTGACCCCATGGACTGTAGCCTGTTAGGCTCCTCTGTCTATGGGATTCTCCAGGCAAGAACACTGGAGTGGATCACCATTCCCTTCTGCAGGAGATCTTCCCAACCTAGGGATCGAACCCATGTCTCCTGCAGGTTCTTTACCGTCTGAGCCACCAAGGAAATCCCCAGTCCCTTCCTTAAAAAAATACGTTAACTTCTGAAAACAGAGACTGAAGCTCCACCAGTGACGGCCTCATCCGTCGCTCTGCTGTGCGTGTAGACGCCTGGTTTGCCTGTGTGTCTGAGCTAGTATCGTCATGTCCGTGTGGCTGGCATGGACCATCTCCCAAGGACACCCTCTTTGGTGATGCTGACTAGACAGGCACACCCACTTGCCTTGGCATGCTTTGCAGATGACCCAAGCTGCAAACACCAACACATATAAGACATATGCTCTCTTCTTTGTATAATTCCAGGGACCAAAATACGCCGACACGTCGGGGTGTGTGCATACAGGCGCAAGTGTATTCTTTCCTGACTGTAGAAATATGCTTCTGTGAGGTTCCATCTACTCCCACACGGAACCTCCATGGCTGGCACATCTCCTAATTATTCCATCCACTCCCTCCCCATGGACCCTTGGTGTGTATATTTTGGCACATTTGCTTGATTCCTCCCCCCTTTTCTCTCCCTCTTTCTCTGCCTGCCTCCCTCCCCCTTCCTCCTCTCCACGACTCTTTAGAAATTTTGTTAAACTATACACTCTTTATTATTAATGTACGTGTATGAAAAACTCTTCCCAGTTACAAAAGTGCACGGTTATAAAATCATCTCCATACAAAGGTTGGCACCGTCCCACTGCCCGCCCCGCCCTAACCCTCCCGCCCCGAGACATCAGCCCTCTGCCATTGAGAGAGCTCCCTGGGTCCAGAACTCTCCAGCCAGTGTGCTGCGGCAGACTCGATGGTGCGGCAAAGGACCTTGCAGCCTGCCTCCTCCCCTTCCCGGCTGCCTCCCTCTGGAGCTGGGGAGAGCAGATGAGCTTCTCTAGCTTTGGGAAGATGTTCTTTGGAGGAATGGACGAGCGTGTCTCCCGGTACCCTTTCAGAGATGGAACTGATGTCAGAGTGACACAAAGACATCTCTAGGGAAAATGGGGCCCTAGGTCTCCCCCGATGGAGAAGTATCTGTCCCGATCTGTTCAAATTCCATACACCCAAGTTGCGCAAAAGGAGCCGGTAAACTATAGCAACCTGTGTGTGTGTTCAGTACTCAGTCGTGTCCAACTCTTTGCGACTCCATGGACTGCAGCCCGTCAGGCTGCTCTGTCCATGAGGTTCCCCAGGCAAGAGTACTGGAGTGGGTTGCCATTTCCTTCTCCAGGGGATCTTCCCTAGCCAAGAATCAAACCCGTGTCTCCTGCATCGGCAGGCAGATTCTTTACCACTGAGCCACCTGGGAAGCCCCTAGCAGCCTAGGGGACCTTCATTGACAAGGGTTTCCTGGGAATCCCTGTGGGGATGGAGATACAGATGAGGGTTTGTCATCGGCTGTGCATAGACGTGGTGTCTTTTCTAAAGAACAGTTTTCTTGGCCCGCACCTTGACCGTGATAGCCCTGTTGGGTAGCTAAGCTTTGTTATCCTCTGGCTCAGCATGAACTTATCTTCTGTGACAAGGACAGATCACTGAGGGTTGGGAGGCAGTTAGGATGTCACCAGGCTACCTCAGTTACACACTTGTCTCTCCTGTATTTTCTGAGCGGCTATTCCTACCCCTAGCCTGAAAGGATTCCATCTTACTGTAGTAAGCCGCACAGTACGCAGACGGCTGAGCAGACCACATCAGAGAACTGAGGCTCCAGAGAGACAGGAGCCGTATCAGGAGACACCACCAACCACAGAACCCCACGCACAGACACATGGACTCAGAGATACCCCAAGGCTCACATGTCAACCAGTCTGGACAAAGCCTAAGGAAGCCTTGTAGGAGCAACATCGTGGATCCTTGGTTGGTAGGATTGTGGGAACGATACCAACCAGGACTGCTAGATTATTTCCAGAAGCTTTCTCTAGAGGCTTGCTTTGAGAGCCTGTTCAAGATGATGGTGGTGAGGGGTAAGGGAGAAGCAGGGAATTCCACGGCCGTAGGGAAGTTAACTGCATCCTACATTGTGATTTATTAACTGGGGACCTTTTAGTAGTTGCAGAAGCATCTATTCTTTAAAAGCCTGTATCCTATTCAGAAAGCTTTGCTGTCAATGGGAACTAAAGAATATTATTATTAGAGAGGGCATTTGATCTCAAGGGTTGGCTTGCTTGGTCTAGTTCTATGCAAAAAAAAAAAATCCTGTCTTAAAATATGTTAACTATATTTCAGCAAACCAGAGTCTCTAAGAAATTATGATAGATGTGTATGGTGCCCCTCTGTGGGAGGTTTAACTGTTTGTGTTAGGGCTGTTATTTCTAACAGTTCTTCCTCAAATACTCTTTTTGTTGTTGGCTGGACTCCCAGAGAGCGACCCTGGTCTGCCCGCCCCGGGACACAGCGGAAGAGGGTGGGCACGGCCCTGCCCCATCGTCAGGGAGCGTAGTTCTGGCCCTGACGTTGTACATGAGACGCAGAGGAGACAAGGGTCAAGCACCCCAGTTCCAGCAGGGTGTTGGGCACTCTTTTGGTTGATAAGCTCAGGCCAGCAGGAGTTGGGGAAGGCTTCTCGGAAGGTGTGGCCTGCCAGGAGGATGGGTGAGGCGGGCTTGCTGGAGCCGAGGGCACGGTAGAAAGTCCCCGATTTGATCCTCATCTCCGCTGACCTTGCGGATCCGATGATCATGTGGGACTGGGTCCTAGAGCGGTCCCCTATCTTGCAGAGGGGACTGCTTCCTGCTGCCTTTGTATCTCTTGCAACACAGAAAGGCTTAGGCAGGCTGGGGGAACACGGCTTCTCTCCTGTTTCCCAGAGGTCTTATCTTTTGCACGACTGCCACGGTGGCCACCAGCTCTGATGTGTCGTTGACACTTTGCAAGTCAGGCGTCTTCTAGGATTTGCCCTGATGCAAGTACCTCTAAACTGCAGGATTCCACTGCCCTTTATTTAGCCGATTGGCAGGGACCTTCACGGTTGGCTGTGAATTCAAGGGCCCCTCTGCCGAGCCCGCTCAGGCATTTTCTTCCTCAAGCATCTGGGAAAGCCCTGGAAAGTGGACCGAGATGGAGTTGAGTTGCACCCTGCCACGCACACAAGTCGTACCTGCTCCGGAGTCTCTATTTTTCCATCTGTAAAGTAGGTGCAAGGATTTTGTGGTTTGTCTCCCACCCAGGGTCGTGAGAAGTCAAGGAGAATGATACCAAAGCGCTTTACAAACTGTCCAGCGCTGAACAAATACGGGAAAGCTCATGATCAAGACGATGAGACCAACGCCGAAGAAGATGAAGATGCTAACTGTGCTTTGCACATGAAGTTCCTTGATTTTTGACTGACTGGTTAGACAGGGTTCCCTGAATAGAACTGTCTAGTCCCTTCCTTCTAGAGTGTATCCACATAACCTGGGGTGAGAGACTCAACCTGCTCCAACTGAATCATCTGTAACATGGGAATAATAGAACTCACTAGGCAGTGTTGCTGGGAGAATTGAAATTAGTGAGTCGACAGACTTACAAGAGCCCCAGGAGAGTGCCTGGTCCTTTCTAGGGGCTTCATCCAATTGGAATTTGAACTTAAGAGAAGGTTAGAGGAAATTGTGATGTCCCTCAACTTGAATGGGGTTTCATTTTGCTTTTAAGTAGCATATGACTTAACCTCTCTGAGTCTTGGATTCTTCATCTGTAGAATGGGCACGATGATGCTTGCCTCAGCAGACTGTTGTGTGCGTGAACGGAATCGTCTCTGGAGAGAGCCCTTCACCGTGCCCGACTCCAGCAGGTGCTGAGCAGTGAACAGCCCTCTCATCCTCTTGCTGAAATGGATCCATGGCTTCAAAGGAGGATCGAACCTTCCTGCGGTCACAACTCTGGTGGCCGTCTCCATCAGGCCTCGGGATCATGCTGCCGGGCTGCACAGTGGGGTGTGCTGTCCTGGGGGGACCCCTTGGTGTGGGCACAGAAACAGTCAGAGGATGAAGAGTCCCAGGGCCCCAGGACTCCTGCCTCCCTCTTCGGAAGCCCACGCTCGTGTGCCAGGCAGGAGATGGGGGAGGGGAAGGGTGCTGCAGGGGGTTCACTGCCCGAACCACCTCGCCTGCAGGCGACAGCTGGCCACATAGGATGGGGCAAGGGCGGTCAATGGGAGGGGGTCTCACCTGGCGGCTGCCGGCAGGAGGAGGCTTAGGGGGCCAGCGCGGAGGCGCTGTCACCGTCCAGGGGCAGGGGTGGGCAAGGCCAAGAGCTGACGGACTGGGCGTCGGGGGAAAGTTCTGGTCCCGGCCTGCTCCCGCTCTGTACTCTGAAGTCACAGTGATCGATGTCACTGTTCCCACACCACGCGTGTCATCGGCCGGTGTCTGCCCTTCTCTGGCTATGGACAAAGCAGGCGTTCTTTTCGATGAGGCACTTCACACGTCGCCTGCGTTCTTGTAATGCTCTCGGATTTTCTCGACAGGAGATGACCCGTCCTCTGGGCCTCCATCGCTCGACGTGCTGCCAAAACGCCTTGAAGGGAAGAGTTTCGGATTCCTGCTCCTCTGTCAGGGCCCTGGGGGCCAGGGTGGAGGTCTGATCCAGCTGGCAGCCCCAGTTCCTAGCACAGCGCCTGGCCCCCCGGAGACGTGCACACAAAGGTGGCTTCGTGACCCTGCCTGAGCGTGACCGAGGTGACCGGGGCCCCGCGGAGCCGCAGCGGTGGGCGGTGTGGAGGGGCGCCGGGCCCCCGCGTCAGATCTCCTCCTCTTCGCTGGCCTTGCTCCAGCGGTGGCAGCAGTTGGCGGTGATGCCCAGGAGGAAGTTGGTGGCCACGGACGCGATGGAGACCACGAAGCCCACGAAGGCGATGAAGAGGTAATCGTCCAAGGTCAGGGTCAGGTGGCAGGCCTTGAAGCTCTCCTCTGTGAGCGAGAAGAGGGGGGCGCCCTCGACTTCTGGGGGGCCTCGGCACTCAGCCAGCTGGGAGTCTGCAACACAGAGATGGCGGGTGAGGCGCTGGAGGGGACGGACGGAAGGGAGAGCCCCCCGCCCCGTCCAGGCGGAGCTGGGGTTTTACTGAGTTACTTCTGCGTGCCTCATGTTTCACTCACCTTCTTTAGTGCCCTCAATAACCCTCAGAGTAAGTATTTTTCAACCTACTGAATATTTCTATAGAGGTGGCGATGACTGCTTGGAGACTTTAGTAAGTTTGCCTCAAGCCCAGTAGCCCCTGCTAGAGGCAGATCTGAGGCTTTTGGGGGATTTCAACATTATCCGTCTCTCACAATAACCTCCCAACCGGTCTCTCAGCTACTGCCCTTCAACTATCTCCATGCTGAGATGATCCTTTTAAATGTGAAGCCCTACCTAGAGACTGTCATCCCGAGGGAAGTCTAAGTTAAACAGGGAAAGAGAAATATTATATGACATTGCAGAACCTAAAAAAAAAAAAAGGTGATGCAAATAAACTTACAAAACAGGAACAGACTCACAGACTTAGAGAATGAATTGATGGTTACCGTGGTGGGGGTGCATGGGGGTGGGGAGGGATAGTTAGGGAGTTTGAAGAAGAAAGTGTCAGCTGCTCAGTCGTGTCCAACTCTTTGAAACCCCATGGACTGTAGCCCACCAGGTTCCTCTGCTCATGAGATTTTCACCCAGGAAAGAATACTGGCATGGAGAAGCCACTCCCTTCTCCAGGGGGATCTTCCCCATCCAGGGATTGAACCTGGGTCTCCTAACTTGCATAATATTGTACGTCAACTATACATCAATATAAAGGAAGTAAAAAAACAAGTGAAGCCCTGCCAAGTCACTGCTTGAAACCCTCCCCGGCTTCTTCCTCTTCCCACGAGGACCTCCCCACTCCCTTCCACTCTGCTCCTGGCTTGCTCTGCTCCATCCATCTTCACCTCTCAGTCCTTCTGCCTTCACCCCAGTTCGTCCCCTTTCAGGGTGAGGAGGGGGAGACTTTGCATTCATCCCCTCGGGAGGGGGTTCTTCCTGCCATGATCTCTGCATAGCTCAGCCCCTCACTTCCTCTGGGACTTTGCTCAAATATCGGCTTATCAGTGAGGGCTTCCTTATGATTCTGTATAAAGTAGCAACTCCAGTTCCCCTTTCTCTGAGCATTCTCTATCTTCTCTGTCTTATCTGCTCTGCTTATTATTATTTTTTTTTCCCCAGTGTACTGATCATCATTTCCCAGTTTGTTATCTGTTTGCTCCCTTTGAATGTAAGTTCTCCCTGTAGTGCACTTAGCATTAGAGCAGGGGCCTGTCCATGTGAGCGCGCAATTAACCTTTGCTCATTGAATCTGAGAATGAATGACTCTGTCCAGTCCAAAGCCAGGTATGTTTTTATGACCCCATGTGACTCTTCCAGATACACAAGAATGTAGGGTTGAGTATGGGCTCTGAAATTGCCAGCCTGGCTTCAAATCCCCTCTTTATCTCTCCTTGGGCTTCCTTGATGGTTTGACCCCTGGGTCGGGAAGATCCCCTGGAGAAGGAAATGGCTACCCACTCCAGTCTTCTTGCCTGGAGAATCCCATGGAAAGAGGAGCCTGGAAGGCCATAGTCCCTGGGGTCGTAAAAGAGTCAGACATGACTTAGTGACCGAGCAACAACATCCATCATGCATTTGTACATGGTTGTCACTGGCTGCATCTTACTCTGCCTCGGAAGGGAGAGTGGCAGGAGGGTAGCAGTTCTGCCTTGAAGCCAGGTATTCCTTGATCAGGGGATAGATACGAATCAGACGCTCACCAGGGGTAAGTCTTTTTTGCCTTTCTGGTTCTTATGAAGACGGGTGAAATGTAAGAAGTGGATCACTGAACCTCAATGTCTAAGAGAGCCAATGCGAAGGAGCTTTTAAAGCTATTTGGTGCATAAAAGCTGTGTATTCACTCCGCAGCTTTTGAGGGAAAAGAATAAAATGCTGGACTGAAATCGACTCCCTTGAGAAGTGGATGAACATGATGCTGAGAAATGGATTCTTAGAAACGGAGAGTCAGGCTCAGAAGCAGGATGAACCTCCCCCCAGCCCCAGGGCTCAGGACCCCCTGTGGGCTGTGTGCACAGTGGCCCAGACCCTGTGGAGGACAAGCTGGTGCCTGGGGTTAACCATCAAGACGTCATCGTCTTGGAACCGGAAGATGCCGAACCCCAAGGTCTCTTGCAGGCATGAATGGGGTGGTGCAATCCATCATGAGGCTGGGGGGTGTGGGAACCCTGAGGCGATTGGCAGAACCCTCGGGAGGTCAGCACAGGAGCCTGCGGGCTGAGAAAGCCCTCTGGTTAATGCAGGGTCCAGCCTTGAACCTGATTTATATCCCAAGGGGGTCCTAAGGCCCTGTGTGTGTGGGAGGGGATTTGTCCAAAATGGAGGGACAGTAATGGGAATCCCGTCAAGAAAAGGGGAGGAGGGAGCAGAAAAAGACCAAGTGAAGCGGGTCACCTCGTCCTTCCTACCTCAGCAGGTTCTTTGCCCCCAAGAGAAAATTATCCTAGAGATACGGAGAAAAGCGTGTTCCGCGGAGGAACACAGGAGGCTGGGTTCCTGGCTGCGGCCAGCCACGTGGCCTCCCTGGAGGGCGGTTCCCCGTTGGCACGAACACGAGGCTTCCCTGACGGGACCTGGGACTCCCTCTCCTGCTCGCTGGGACCCTGAGCTTCTTCCCAAAGGGCAGCGGGGACCTCGGGCCCCCCAGAACAGAGGGAGCCCCTCCATGCGGGGGAACCCAGCGGGACCTTTCTGTCCTAGTGCAGGCACGAGAGGAAGGAGGCGCAGCCTGCAGAGGCTGGCTTAGGAGGGGGCGGCTCCAGGCAGCCGGCAGTCTGCCCCCACCAGCACCCGCGCCCCGGGCCCCAGCTGGTCCCAGAGAACTTCCTCCCACAGCTCCAAGGAGCACGGGAACCCTGCAGCCCTCTCCCCACCCAAACTAGTTTGATCCTGGGCTCCCCACCGGGTTCTCCTCCCCGCCCACCCCGCCTCAGTGCAGGCCCGGGTCCACTCCCCATAGAGGCTGGCTCGGGAAACTGCCTCGGAACAGCATCTCTTCTCAGACCTGAGCCCTCCACCCCAAGCCCAGACCTCGCAAAATTCGTAGAGGCCCTGCCGCCGGCCCGGAACCCAAGCCCAGACCTCTCCTGTTAGCCTAGAACCTCACTCATCAGGACAGGACCAGAAGGGGTTTGAATCCTGACTCCAGCCCTTCACCGCTGTGGGAACCGCTTGGGCACGCTTCCGAACCTGTCCGTGCCTTGGTTTCTTCGTGTGTGTGAGTGTGTGTGTGAGTCCGTGAGTGTGTATTTGAGAGTGTGTGAGTGAATGTGTGTGTGACAGTGTGTGTGTGTGTGAGTGAATGCTTGAGTGTGTGTGTGTGTGTGAGGGAGAGTGTGTGAGATCAGGGTTCTTGTGAGGATGTGATGAGCTGGGTATGAGGTGTTAGTTGCTCTGTCGTGTCTGACTGTTTGCAACCCCATGGATGGTAGCCCACCAGGCGCCTCTGTCCATGGGATTCTCTCGGCAAGAATACTGGAGTGGGTAGCTATTCCCTTCTCCAGCAGATCCTCCCCACCCAGGGATAGAACTTGAGGCTCCAGCATTGCAGGCAGATTCTTTACTGTCTGAGCCACCAGTAAAGTCGGATGAGTTAAAACGTAATATATTTAGAATAGGGCCTGGCGGATAGTAAGTACTAAAATAAAGAGGGTGAGCCATTTCTGTTTCTTCTAGTATTCAGCATACTTAAAAAGCAGTCTGGTAGAGTAGCACAGAGCTTCGAAATCACATAAACTTGGGTTTTCTCCATGTCCTTGCCACTTTCTATGTGAGTGTCTCTGGCCAAGTCTTTTCATTGTTCTAAATCTCAGTTTCTTCACCTGTAAAATGGGGCTAACAAGAGTGGGGTCCTACGAGATAACACCTGCCGAGTTGGAGGGTCATGGTGGACGCTCCACAAACGCTGTTGGTTATCAATGAGTTGCTCTGACTTGCCCGCTCTCTGTCCGTCTGTCTCCCTAGGTCATCAGTACCACGGGGGTGGGTGAGGGCGGGGTCTGTTTTATTGACGCGGGGTCCCCAGCACCGGGCACACACAGCAGAGACTTGAGCATTCTCGACTGTGCGGAGGAGGCCAGCCCAGGTCCAGATCCTCCCTAGGCGGGGTTTCCAGCCCCTCCTCCCGCGCACCCTTGGCTCTGGCGAGCAAGGCCCCCACGCCTTACCCGCGGTGCAACGCTGGATGCGGTTCCGCAGCCACTTGAGCAGGGGCTCCATGGTGCAGCCGCACACCCAGGGGTTGCCGCCGATCTGCAGGGTCACCAGCCCGGGCAGGCCTTCGAGGGCCTCGAGGCTGAGGAAGGCCAGGCCCCCGAAGCTGAGGTCGAGGTCCCGCAGCTGCGCCAGGCCCTGAAAGGCGCGCGGGTGCACCCGGCGCAGCCCGGGGTTGTGGCTGAGGTCGATGCGCACGAGGCCGAGCGCGGCCTGGAACATGCCGGCGGGCAGGTGGCTGAGGTTGTTGTAGCTCAGGTCCAGGTGTGCCAGGCGCTTGGCGTGGAGGAAGAGGCCCGCGGGCAGCTCCACCAGGGAGTTGTTGCGCAGGCTGAGCACCCGGAGCTCCCGGTAGCACGTGAGGTAGCCGGGCGGCACAGCGGCGATGCGGTTGTGCGCCAGGCTGAGGTTGCGTGTGTCCACTGGCAGCTCCGGGGGCACAGAGAAGAGCCGCTGGCCGCTGCAGTCCACCGCCTGGTTATGGCACGTGCAGAGCACCGGGCAGCTGGCGCCGCCGTCCGAGGGCATCACCCCGGCCGCCACGAGGAGGGGGACCAGGAGCAGGGCGGGCCGCGGGGGCCCAGACCGGGGCCCGTGGGCCCAGGTGTCGCCCATCTTCGGCTGCGGGCAACAGTGGTGCTGAACGGAGCCCATTGGGACGCGGGCTCTGGCCGTGGATCAAGAGTCAGCCGCTCAGCAGGGCAGCTGCTCTCTCGGGGGCCGGAGCCCTGGGAGGTGGGGCTTGGCGGCCCTGCGGCGTCATGGCTTAAGCCTCTCCCAGGGGCCTCTGGGCACCGGAGGGCTCCCTGGGTGAGCGCCACAGGAGGTCCCCTTTGGAGAATAGGGGTCTCGCCACCCAGCCGAGGTCCCCCAGGGTTGGAATGGATGATCAGAGCACGAGAAAGGGAGGACACGAGGATGCGGAGGGACCAGCTGCCCGCAAATCGCGGAAGGGGCCCTGCAGGTCTTTGGGGTCCTTCTCGCCCATGACTGTTGGGTGCCACCCCCGGACCGTGTCTGAGAGCTGGGAGGGACGTGTGGGACAGCAGAGGTGCCTTCCGAGGGGCCTGGCAGGTCCCGGAACGCCGAAGCCCAGTCCCAGGTCTGGGCCGACGAGGCAGCCAGGGCTGCCCTGCTGTCTCCTGCCCTCGGGGTCTCGGAGGCCGTTTCTCCCAGGGGCCCAGGGGCCTCGATCCGGGAGGGTCCTGGGGTGGCCGTCTCGGGGAGGGGTCCCGGGGGGAAGGGGACCTCCAGGGGCCTCTGGCCGCCTCAGTCCGCGGACTCAGTGTCTCCTGAGGACCCCAGAGAGGGGAGGCCCCCGGGGAGAGGAGGACCCAGGTGAGCCGCAATGTGGGCTGCTGCGGCGGGAGGAGCCCCGCGTCCGGAGGCGCAGGACTAGCGGGGCTCAGGTCCCCGGCGGGCTCGGCGTTCAGCGGGCGGGGGCAGACGACACTCTGCAGACAAGGAAAGCACTCAGGCGGCCGGCCGTGCCCCTGGCTCCCCCGTCCCCGGTCCCGGCTTCCCACCCGCGTCTCCTTGTTCTCCGCCTCCCGCCTCTCCGCGGTGGGCCGCGCATGGGGTCGCCCGCCGCCCTCCCGCGGCCCCTCCCCAACCAGGGCTCTGAGTTGGGCGCAGCGCGTCTGCTGCGTCTCCTGGCCCCGCCCCCATCAGCAGCAACCGCCCCACCTCTGAACAACTCTCTAAGAAAAATGCACAGTCTGGCTGTTTGCACCCCCTTTCCACACTCAGCACCCCCATCTCTCTCTCACACACACAGACACACACATAGACACACACACAGACACACACACAGACACACACAGACACACACACAAACATACACACACACTCACACAGACACACACACACAGACACACACACTCACACACAGACACACTCATACACAAAGGCACACACACACCAGACACATACACACATACAGACACACTCACTCACACACACACTCATACACACACACAGACACACACAAATGCACACTCACACTCACACAGACACACTCATACACACACAGGCACACACAGACACACACTCACAGACACACACTCACACACACGCACACGAGCGTTCTTCTGGGCCTCCCCCACGTTTTACCCTGGCCCGCGCTCGCACCTCCTCAGTTTTCTCGTCCTCCTGCACGCGCTCCTGCAGAGCCCCCACTGTCTTGCACCGCGGTGCACCCCTAACCCCAGCACCCTTTCCCGCAGACTCCCCGCGCTGCCCTCGGGCCCCCAGCGGGCGCCCACGGCCGCACTGGGCCGGCGGGAGGCCGAGCGAGGACACGCCCGGCAGCCCTGCCCCGGCCCCCGGCCCCCGGCCCCTCTCCAGCCCATCCGCCGTCCTCACGTGCCCTCACCCTCCAGCCCGGCGCTGCTCTCGTCTCACGCTTCCAGCCTCCATCCCACCCACTGGGTGATCACCCCGCTCCCCGTAAGGAGACCCCTTCTTTCTGAGCCCCAGCTCCCCTGCATCCCCACACCCCGCGGGAGCCCACTTACTCGAGTCCGAGGACACAGCCATCCGCCTGCGGCAGACCCGGGCGCCCTCCCTCATCCCGGCCTCCCGGCTCGCGGCTTCAGGACAGACTGCCTCCCGGGCTGCTCCCCTCCCCCGGCGCCTCCTCCTCGGGGGCTCCGGGATCCCGGGGCGGCATCCTCGGGGTTTCCAGCGCTGGGGTCCCCCTGCCGCTCCCCGTCCCTTACTCGAAGGGGAACCGAGAGAGGCGGGCGGCTTAGAAGAAAGTTCACGGAATCCGAGTGCTTCTCACCAAGACTCGGCGGGCGCCGAGGCTGCTGGGGCTGGTGGCTGCCGCCAGAACCTCCCCTCCCTCCTTCCTCCCTTTCTCTCTTCCCTCCCTGCTCCCTTTTTCGCTCCTTTTTTTTTTTTCCTCGAGGGCCAGGTACTGACGTTTCACGGTCTCTTAGCAACAGCCTCCACGTCTCTGAGCAACAGGAGAGCTGGCGATGGACCCCACCGAGACGGCAGAGCAGGGAAGGAGGCATCGCGGAATCCACACCCGCGGCTCCTCGTGATGCCACGAAGGGGACCGAGGGGTCGGGGGGGGGGCAGCCGAGCAGGAGGGGAGAGAGAGCGAGGGGGCCGGGGAGAGCCGGGGGCAGGGGCAGAGGCGCGGGTCTGCAATGGACACCGAGGAAGGGAAGTTTCAGACCCCAGTGGGAAAGGAGTAAGAGCTCGTAGTGGAGAAAGGAGGAGAGTGGGGGACAAACTGGGGGAGGCAATGACGACGGGAATGAAGACGGGAAAGGAGACAAGCGCGTGAGACAGGCTTGCTCCCTTGATGGGCTGTATCTGTTCAGTCCATATACAGCATCTGTTTCCCTGGCTCTGAAGGTATTTTGGTCACTAGGTATCAGGTGACTAGACAGGATCAGAGCTTATCAGGGATAATTGTAGGCGGTGGGAACTTTTCTGGGTCCCCTAACTGTCCCTCATTCCTGACCTCACCAGCTTTGAGAGCTTCTGGGATGCAAAGGGCTGACTATCTGTTCCAGGTGAAGTGTCCCCGGGGTTGTAGAGACAGATCTGTCTCGTTGCCGGGAGAACCTTGTGGTTCTTGCTCTTTGTCCAGGCCAGAGGCTCTGTTGTCCCGTTTGCAACTCTCCAAGCTTCATGCTCACTCCCGCTCCAGACCAACTTCAGAAGAAGGTGAAGTCTTTGCAACACCTCTTTTCTTGGTGACTCATGGAACAAGTCTCTAGCTGCCCTGAATTTTAAAAAAACGTTTGGCTAGTTGGTTTGGTCAAAGAGCTGCCTCATTTCTTCTTTTAATTATTAGTTATTGAGCACTCACTGTGCTGCTTCCCTGGTAGCTCAGCTAGTAAAGAATCTGCCTGCCATGCAGGAGACCTAGGTTCGATCCCTAGATCGGGAAGATCCCCTGGAGAAGGGAATGGCATCCCACTCCAGTATTCTTGCCTGGAAAATACCATGGACAGAGGAGCCTGGTGGGCTACAGTTCATGGGGTTGCAAAGAGTTGGACTCGACTGAGTGACTGTGACTAATAACAACCGCTGTCTGCTGGGCACTTGGTTACACGGTGGGCAGAGAGCCACTGGTAACATAAATGTGAGTTCTGCCCTTATAAGGGCTAACTCAAAAATAAATAAATACAGAGCTAATGTCAGTCCTGTCTGTCCACTCAGCTGATCTGAGGCTTCTTCTATTTCAGTAATATCTTAGATCTTTAGGGGAAACTGAAATGGAATAGTAGAAAACAGGTATCAAGTTGTACAGATTTACAAAGTTCTCAAAATCACTATCTTTTCTAGCATGAGTCTTTTTTTCAATTGGAGGATAATTGCCGGTAAGGCAATTATTGTGTTGGTCTCTGCCATACAACAACGCGAATCAGTCATAATTATACATGCACGCCCGCCCTCTGAAGCCTCCCGCCCTCATTTCACCCTTCTCGGCCGTCATACAGTGCCAGGCTGGGCTCACTGTGTCATACGGTAGCTTCCGGCTAGTCACCAGTTTCACACGTGATGGCATACATGTCAGTGCCACTTTCTCAATTAGTCCCACCCACTCCTTAGCCCATGTCCCCAAGTCCGTTCTCTGTGTCTGCATCGCCATTTCTTCTCTGTAAATAGGTCGTCGGTTCTGTTTGTCTAGATTCCATGTATATGGTGTCTGCATTTTTGCTTTTCTCTGTCTGACTTCACTCCGTGTGACAGGCCCTGGGTTCACCCACCTCACTTCAGCTGCCTCACATTCATTCCTTCTCACGGCTGAGCAGCACTCCATCGTGTGTCTCTAGCATGGTTCTTTTTCCTATGTGGCCCCAGATGGTCTCCTTCCCTTTGCACTGTCCTTTCTCATTTTACGCTCGTCTGGAATCTTCCGTGTCCTGCAGTGTCCAGGGCAGAGCAGCAGGGCACCCACTGCATTGACGTTTACATACTGAGTTGGCTGAGGAAAATACAATTTGCATCACCCTCCCTCCATAAAGAAGGGAATTTTCATTCCATTCATTTATGAACTTAGAAACGACATCTTCATCTTAACGCACAAAACACGACAATGTGTGGAAACGAGTGGCCCAGTTAAACAAGGAAAGCAAAGAAGCAGAATACCTTATTAACATTCCATGATTATCTTAATGGAAGCTAAGAAAGGCAATCGGTGCCTTTCAATACTTACTGTTGACTAAAGGTGTGTTTAAAAAAAAGCTTTTCTTCCTTTACATAATATGTTTATGTTTATTGTTAGAACCAATAACATGACTGAAGGAAACATTTGTGACAGTTTCCTTAAAAGATAGGATCTAGGCAAGAATGCCTTGTCACCATTTGAAACTGTCGCTTTCTGAGCTGTAAAATAGGAGTAATTAGAATGGCACCTATTTCATGAGGTTGTTTAGGTTACATGGGTTGCTATTAACAAGGCACTTGGAGCAGTATACAGTGAGCATACAGATGTGTTTGTGTAATCAGTAAATAAAGCAAAATAAAACAAACTGCAGACTATAAGATTGCTGAACTACTTATGTGGCAAGGAAAACTAATGACACAGAAATGGGTAGTGGAGAAAGGAAAAAAATCACATTTGCTGGTGATGTATTCTTGTGCAAGATAAGTCTACAAACCTTTGGGAAAATCCCAACTCAGAAACA